AACCGGAAGTGGCGCTGTAGCTCAAGTGGTAGAGTGCTCGCCTTGAGCTGAAGAGCTGAGGGACAGTGCCCAGGCCCAGAGTTCAAGCCCCACGACCAACAAAAAAAAAAAAACTCTACTGATGACAAATACTCTTCTTCTTTCACTTCAAAGACTACCTCATGGCTTTGAGACAACTTGCATTGGGGTTGATGGTCAGAGAAGCTACTCTTTTTTTTTTTTTCTGTTTTTGGTCAGTCGTGAGGCATGAACTCTGGGCCTAGGTGCCGTCCCTCAGCTCTTCAACTCAAGGCAAGTGCTCTACCATTTGAGCTACAGACCACGTCTGGTTTCTGGTGGTTTATTGGAGATAAGAGTCTCATGGACTTTGCTTGCTGCCTGGGCTGGCTTTGAACTTTGATCCTCAGATCTCAGCCTCCTGAGTAGCTAGGGTTACAGGCCTGAGCCACTGACGCCCAGCTATGACTACTCTTGAGAAGACTTTCTCTCCCCTAAATTTTCATGGGTTTTTTGCTAAGGTTTTCCATTTAAGCCTTCCTAGTCTTAATTTGGTAGAAGGTGGAAGGCTGAAATGTTACCATCTGTCACATTCAGCCTGAGTCCAACATGCCATAACTACCAATTACAGTGTCCTGGAAAGGAAAGTTTAGACCATAGATATTCTAGAAGAATACTGGAGCTCTTGCCTTCTTGTACCCTTACTAAAATGAAAGTCAAGATTTTAAGTTCAGATTAAGAGTGGTCCTTGGTAACTTGTTGTAGGGAAAGGTTTGTGGCTCTAGAGCTGTAAGTAAAAAACATTTCAGGGGCTGGGAAGGTGGCTCAGTGGTAGAGTGCTTGCCTTGCATGCATGAGGCCCTGGGTTTGATTCCTCAGCACCACATAAGCAGGAAAAAAAAAAAAAAGCTAGAAGTGGCACTGTGGCTCAAGTGGTAGAGAGCTAGCCTTGAGCTGAAGAGCTAAGGGACAGCGCCCAGGCCCAGAGTTCAGGCCCCACGACGGGACCCAAAAAAAAAAAAAATTCAGATCACCATCAAATATTGAACAGAGCTTTCCAAGCATGTAACGCAGGGTTTATAGCTATGTGGAAGTATTCATATATTCCCACTTCTATTTTTTCCAGACCTTGGCAATCAGGCAAAGCCTACGGCAGCCAAAGCTCTAGGTTATTTCCCTACAAACTCTGAACTACCTCTAGCCACCTCCAGGCTCTTCAGAGGGTAGTCTTAAGCAGTCAATGTCTTAAGGAGTCAAACAGAAAACATAATTATATGTTAATTATATGGTGGAATTCCATATAGTAATGAAAATAAGTGATTTAGAGCTACACTACATGATAGATAAATATGTTAAACAAGGAAAAAGCAAAGCCGGGCATTGGTGGCTCACACCTGTAATCCTAGCTACTCAGGAGAATGCCATCTGAGGATTGCAATTCAAAGCCAACCTGGGCCGGAAAGTTTGTGAGACTCTCATCTCCAGTTAACCACCAGAAAACCAGAATTAGCAATGTGGCTCCAAGTTGGTAGAGTGCTAGCCTTGAACAAAAAAGCTCAGGTATAGCACTCAAGTCCTGAGTTCAAGCCCCACGACCAACAAAAAGAAAAAACGAGAAAAAAGCAAGATGCTGAAGATGTACCAATGACACAATATAGAAGGTCTTAAGACATAAAAAATAATAATTGTAAGGTCCGCCCATGGCTGCAAGGGGTGACCCACCTCTGAGCCAGGACTTATTTAGGCCAGGGGTGGGGAGAAGTTGTGGCCAAGTGGGGGAGTTTTGGCCAATGGATACAAATGTGACCTCAGGGACCGGGACCTGCCTACCAAACGATGGGAGTTGTGACAGGGGATGTGACCTCGGGGGAGGGGGAGGTGACTACTTCCAGGTGTGCAGTTATCTAGGTGACACAGGTACTACTCATAAACTTAGCCAAGAGAGGGGAGGAGTCTGCCCCTCCTTCCCAGGGTGAACCTTATATTAACACAAGAATGTCAAGCAAAATTTGGTATGATGGGAATATTCAGATAATGTTCAGTTTTGTATTATTACAGTGCTGCAATGAACATTCATGTACACATTTCCCTAGGCACATGTGTGAATTCTTATTAAGGGCATAGCCCTACAGTTGAATTCTGAATAGTTTTAGCTTTACTAGACATTTACAAATTGTTAAACAAGTAGATGAACAATTTTTTTTCACTATGACTAGCACTCAACCAGTTGAGCCATGCCTCCATGATGAACTTTTAAAAAAATATAATTTTATTGATGATAAACTTTTTAAAAATGAACTTTTTAATTTTTTATTTATTGTTATTAAGATGTGAACTCATTTTTAATTTTATTACTTTATTTATTTTGTCAGTTATGGGACTTGAACTCTGGGCCTGGGAGCTGTCCCTCAGCTCTTCAGCTCAAGGCAAGTGCTCTACCACTTGAGCCACAGCACCACTTCCAGTTTTCTAGTGGTTAATTGGAGATGAGTCTCTTGGACTTTCCTGCTCAGGCTGGCTTTGAACCGTGATCCTCAGATCTCAGCCTCCTGAGTAGCTAGGATTATAGGGTGTGATCCACTGACACCCAGCCCCAAAGCAATTCTTTTTGTTGTTGTTGGTTATGGGGCTTGAACTCTGGGCCTGAGCGCTGTCCCTCAGCTCTTCAGCTCCACTTGAGCTACAGTGCCACATCCGGTTTTCTGAGTGTTTATTGGGGATGAGTTCTATGGACTTTGCTGCCTGGGCTGGCTTTGAACCGAGATCCTCAGATCTCAGCCTCCTGAGTAGCTAGGATTACAGGCATGAGCCACCGGTGCCTGGCCCAAAACAAATTTTATGGTCCAAAAGTCTCATGTGCCTGAGATAAAATACTTGTGTAGCAACTCATCAGTGGTGTTGAAAATACATGAGCCACATTGTGAGAGCAATAAACCACAGAATGGGGACCACTTCTTCAGCTTTGCTTTAGTATCTCAAATCAAGAAGGTCAACACTAGAGTTCTTCAACCCAGAGATACCCCAAGAATGATACAAAATTAGGAGGTGCACTTACCTGTGAAGAGTCAGAGAAAAATAGCATGGGAGCAACAACTAGGGCTGGGAGCCCTGTATCTTAAAGCCTGGGAAAGAGGGACTCTGCCCATATCCTTGGTCTGGGACCACATCTGCTACCTCTCCCTTTTGCGACTAGTAGTTTCTATGTCCTCTCCAGAACCCTGCAGGGCTCATGGATCACCATAGGGTCTTATTTAGGCAAGATTCTGGTTCCTTCCCTCCCCTCACTTCAACAGGGTAATTCTTAGCTTATAGGCTTTTCCCATGATACTTGGGTTTTATTGAAGAAAGGTCACCTCAGCTAAAACATGTTTGAAAGTGTTGATCTATGCTGATCTTTTTTTTCACAGGAGAGCAGGCAAGTCTTAACTATATGTGCCCAGTTCCTGAAGTGGAAGCTTCCCCAAGAAGTATACTGTGAAGATCCCTTGTACATAAAGCCTGATGAAGTTGAGACAATCTGCAACTTTTTTGTGAGAAATAATGGCTTTAATTCTCTAACATGCTGACATACTTGTTTTTCATTTTTTTTCTGACATAGTTTTTAATGGAGGAACATGGAAAACAGGAGACATTTCCCATCCCTCTTCACACTAGCAGTGAACTGCTTTGTATTCTGTAACTATGTTTTCTATAGTCCCCTCTCAATAGACTCACAAATTCATATTCTACTTAGCCCAATCCCTGCTGCTTTCCTCATAGAGAAGAATGGTAAACTCTTAGGGCTCTACTAATTTGGGCCAGAGGCTACATGTGGGTTGAACTGAAATGGACTTGAGTTGCTTTTATAATTATCTCTAATAATTTCCTTAATAGAATGGATTGACTTTCTTTCCATCAGAGCATGTTTAATGACCCCCAAGCAAAGGATGTTATGCTGTGGGCTGGGCAGCAGCCAAAATCTGCCAAGATCCAGATGGTATCTTTTCTCCTCACAACATAGGATATGCACCTATAGTTTTCTAGAAATGGACCACAGAACCATCTGCATCCTCCTAGGAAACCCCTGGAGCTGACTATTCCTAGAATTCTTCTATATGTCTGGCCTGTGTAGGACCCAAGTGGTCTCTGAGCACACTTTTCAGGCTAGGAAGTTCACGGTGTCCTGGTGTCTGGCTTTCCATTAGAGATTATTTTTCTGTGCTGTAGAAAACCTGTATTTGATGCACTGATGACACTGATAACAATACTTCTACCAGGAAATGTGGTGCTTGGAATGGATGAGAGTATAAGCTGTCCATGTTAAGTCATAAGCACTATGAAATTAAATTCCTGTTCTCCCCATCCTATGCATGAGGTACCCTGAAAAATGATGGTGAGGCTGATCAACATAATGCTACTACCTCATTGCCTTATACTCCCGTTTTTCCTCCCTTAGGGAAAAAAATGCCAAGGGAAAATTAACATCCTAGCCCAAACATTGATGTACTCCAAGAATGCAAAACTTCCTATCAGAAGAGCAGCAGTCTTATTTGTAGGTACAAAGAAAATCCTTTTATTTCTAGTCACTTCTATCCTATATTTTGTCTAATTGTGTTGTTGAGTATTCCCCTCTCCTTTTTTTTTGGCAAGTCCTGGGGCTTGAACTCAGGGCCTGGGCACTGTTCCTGAGCCTCTTTGTGCTCCAGGCTATCGCTCTACTACTTGAGCCACAGTGCTACTTTGGCCTTTTCTGTTTATGTGGTACTGAATAATTGAATCCATGGCTTCATGCATGCTAGGCAAGCATTCTACCACTAAGCCACATTCCCAGGCCAAGTATCACATAATTAACAAAGCAAACCTGGAAAACACTTCTAGGAGAAAGGGGCTATGTTATATATAAATAATTATCATGAAGTTGGAAGTCAGTTTTGGAACCTGCCTACTTACTTAAAGCCAACTTAGCCAACTGCCTCATTTTTTTTAAATGACTAAATACTCAAGTTTTAATTTTTAACAGCAAAAGCGGAATCATAGACTCATTGACCTTATCCTGCATTTAGGGCTTTTATCAAAGTTCATGGATCGCAGTGAGCTCAGGATTAGGGGTACTGAATGGATAGAGAATGGTAAGTGATGATTTCCTTGGTTTTGAAAGGCACCTGTACTTTGGAAGGTATCTGAGGCAGTGACTAGGCATCTACTGAGACTCTGGCATCCCTAAACCCTGACTTACACAACAATAAAACCTCTGGTAACTTTAGCTAAAGGCCAATCTCGTCTCAGTCCAATTACTTTAAGTGAATGTCTCAAAGACAGTTCTTAAAGTTTGTCAGGAAATAACTCATTGTCCAAAAATACTGTTTTTAAAAATTGCAATGCTACCTTACAAGTACCATAGAGATCACTGAGCTATATACTATCTGCACTTACTAAAAGAGTTCTTTTACAAACATGTTTTCAGAATTGTCTGGGAGTGAAAAATTCCTCTAATTGCAGAGCTCTACAGAGTCAGCACTCAAATAATTATTATTCTCACTTAAGGCATTTTACAGTTAGAAAATGTCATGAAATGAAATGCTAAGTCTCACAATCCAAAATCATTACTTTATGAACCAGAATAGTTCACTACATCTTACCCAGTGAAACATAGTAGAGGCTAAATTTTAAGAAAGGTCAGAAAGCTGGGTGGTGTGGCTCACATCTGTAATGCTACCTACTTGGGAGCTGAGATAGGGACTATTGTACTTTAAGGCAATCACAAGCAAAAAGTTCATTAGACCCTCATCTCAACTATTAAAAAGTGATCTCTATGGGAGGTCTAGAATGCTCATTTCCAGAGACCTGAAAGGCTTTCACCTCCCATCTCCATTTCTTATTATGTAGTTCTGAAAGACCTGCTGCAAGACCCTGAGCCCTCTCTGCGCCTCATTGCCTCCCAGGCTCTGTTCCGAGTCCAGAGGGTAGGAGAACTAGAGCCTGAGCAGACAGTTTGCTGGTTGAGGAAACTTCTGGGCTGTCTCCCTACCTAGAAATGCAAAACAAGCAACATCAGGTAACAGTGATTATTTCAGAAACAACAGAAGCAACTAATGAGCCCCCCTTTCCACTAGGCAATGCCATCATGATGCCAGCTCCACCCACTTAATTAACCTCTACCATATTTGCCCTTAAACTTTTAAGTGGCTAGAGTAATTCGGGGAGGGCAGGTCTTGGTTTGATTGCTCAGATAATAGTAAAAAATGTAATGAGTCACTGAGTTGTACCAGAACATCCATAAAGTCCCAGTGGAAAATACATGGAGGGCTGGGAATGTGGTTAGTGGTAGAGTGCTTGCCTAGCATGCATGAGGCCCTGGGTTCGATTCCTCAGTACCACATAAACAGAAAAAGCTGGAAGTGGCACTGTGGCTCAAGTGGTAGAATGCTAGCCTTGAGCACAGACAGGCTCAGGGACAATGCCCAGGCCCTGAGTTCAAGCTGCAGGATTGGAAAAAAAAAAAGAAAAAGAAGGAAGGAAGGAAGGAAATAGGTGGAGAATATTTTCTTCTAAGAAGAAACTAAGAGAGTAAGAGAGAGATTACTTTGTATCAAGTGAATATCTTGGCAAACTGCAAATATAAGGGCAAGAAATCCCTGAGAGACACACTGGACTACTTAGAAATGCTTAGTATTGGTTTGATCCCAGCCCATATTTGGTGAAGAAACATACAGCAGAAAATCAGAGCTAAACTATTCAAGACAAAAGAGGAGTATGGGAAAAAGAAAGGAAATAGCAGATGGCAAATAGACACATCTAATAATGAATGGTATAAATATATATATATATATATTTTTTTTTTTAATTCTTGGGTTTAAACTCAGGGCCTGCGCTGTCCTGAGCAACTTTTGCCCAAGGCTAGTGCTCTACTACTTTGAGCCATAGTGCCACTTCCAGTTTTCTGGTGGCTAATTGGAAATAAGTCTCACAGACTTTCCTGTCTGGGCTTGCTTTGAAGCACAATTCTCAGATCTCTGTCTCCTGAGTACCTAATATTACATATGAATTTGTATTCACCCACACCCCAACAATCTACTGCTCTCCCCTTATCCTTTCTATCCTTCCTATGCCTCTGCTAAGACATATTTAGAAACCAATCTCTCCATCTCTGGGGCCAGCAGGTATTTTGGCCTAAAAGGCAGGCTGTAGTGGCCTGGTGGATTAACTCTTCACCTTAGCACACAGATAAGAGTATGTTAAGAAGCCGGGCACTGGTGGCTCACACCTGTAATCCTAGCTACTCAGGAGGCTGAGATTTGAGGATCACGGTTCAAAGCCAACCCGGGCAGGAGAAACCGTGAGACTCCTATCTCCAATAAACCACCAGAAAACCAGAAGTGGCGCTGTAGCTCAAGTGGTAGAGTGCTTGCCTTGAGCTGAACTGCTGAGGGACAGCGCTCAGGCCCAGAGTTCAAGCCCCACGACCGACCAAAAAAAATAAAAAAATTAAAAAAAGAGTATGTTAAGAGTGGTCACAGGGCTGGGAATGTGGCTCAATGGTAGAGTGCTTGCCTTGCATGCAGGAGGCCCTGGGTTTGATTCCTCAGCACCACATTAGCAGAAAAAGCCGGAAGTGGCACTGTGACTCAAGTGGTTGAGTGCTAGCCTTGAGCTGAAGAGCTGAGGGACAGCGCCCAGGCTGAGTTCAGGCCCCACGACTGACCAAAAACAAAAACAAAAAAAACCTCCAACAGTGGTTACAGATGCTAAACTTCATTCCAAAATGTAGAAGTTCAGTTGCATGCATCCTTTGTCATTTTCTTCTTGTCCTCTTGTCCTATGTAACCAACTATACTCTCACTTTTTAACTATTCACTTAAAATGTTGTCAAAAAATACCATTTTACTGAGTGTTAATAAAGAGCCTATTCGAATCTAAATACATAATTAATGAACTTTTTTTTTTTTTTGTCGGTCATGGGGTTTGAACTCTGGGCCCGGGCGCTGTCCCTCAGCTCTTCAGCTCAAGGCGAGCGCTCTACCACTTGAGCTACAGTGCCACTTCTGGTTTTCTGGTGGTTTATTGGAGATAGGAGTCTCACGGTCTCTCCTGCCCCGGCTGGATTTGAACCGCGATCCTCAGATCTCAGCCTCCTGAGTAGCTAGGATTACAGGTGTGAGCCACCAGCGCCCGGCTTAATGAACTCTTTTTAAGCTTGTAACTACTTCATGTGTGTCATCTCTATTTTGCAGATGGAGAAGGTGAAGAACCAAACATAGAAATGACTTGATCAGGGTCACACAACTAGAAAATGGCAAAGCCAGGATTCAGACCCAAATATTTTGGCAACAAAGACCACTTTCTTGATTGGTTGGCTTGCTGTGTTATTCTCCAGCCTCTTTCCCTCAAAAGGGAATAAGTTCAGATCTACCACAGTTGATCTCAGTTGCTGAGTTCATACTCCAAACAAATTTCTTCTGTAAAGTGAGCCTTAAATATTTATCAGCAGCAAGGGTTGAACACTTTTGGCAGTAAAAGGGATTGAACTCAGGACCTCACACTTGCTAGGCAGGTGCTCTACCATACCAGTTAAGCCATGTTCCTAGATCAAGGTTGAACACTTCTTTTCAAAAAGCTAGGGAATTTTGTTTTTTAGTCAGAATATACCTCTACTACTGAAATAGAATTAGAGCAAAATGTAAAATTGGTGGTATCTTGTGCACTATTCCAGTCTCACAGCAAAAGTAAACTTTCAGTGACTAGAATATACTTGTCTTTAAATATCTGCATTTAAAAATGGATGAATTTACTTAAAATCGAAAAAGGGGTTTGTGCTTTCAGAGGCTGAGTTTAGGATACAGTTTAAATCTCCAGTGACATAAGAGGTTGAATAAATCCTTTTTCTGATTATTTTATGCTATAACCCCTTTCCCTACAGGAAGATTTTTATTTTTTAAGTAACAAAACTGGTAGAGAGAAGCAAGCACATGATTACTGTATTTATGCTTATTGTGTTAAAATTCATTGAGAAGCATTAAGAGACAAAGGAATTTTTACTGAACTACCTCAGCAGTTGGGAAGGGCTAAGAAGTACCTAATGGTGATATTAACAAGTCTCCTTATATAACTCTTCTCAGAGATAGGTTTATGATTTTGTTAATTTTTTAAAAATACAAGTTTCTGGACATTTAATTTTGTCATGTTATGTTGAAAGTTTAGCCCAATAGAATGTCATTTTTATTTTCATCAAAACTATTAAAATGTACTGTTCTTCATCTATTACTGACTGTATCTTTATCTTTATTTATGACTGTCTGTATCTTATTATTTTAGATTCTCACTTTTTGTACTTGGAGTTTTGCTTTTTCCTCTTATACTAAGATATCTATTTTTTTTTGTTTTTTTTTAATGTTTGTTTTGGTGCTCATACAAAAACAAACAAAAACATGGGAAGGGGAAACAAAGGAGGAGGCTACAATGCTTGATAAGAAATGTACTCATTATCTTGCCCATGTAATTGTACCCCTCTCTACTGTATTTTCACAATTAAAAAAAAGAAAAAACAAACAAAAAAAGAGAAGAGTAAGAATGATGAGGTCAGGTCTTGCCCCTCCTTGAGAACTATCAACTGTTTTTCTTTTTAAACAGTAGTTCTTCCTAAGAGAGGCATTTGCAAACTTAAGTGCCTGCTTAGAGCATAGCAAAATGAAGGACAATGACAAAATAAATGTTTTCAAAGGATTTAAAAATGAAATAAGCATTTTTGAAAACATAATTAGAACCCTGTTGTGCTTTCTAATCCTGATTTTGTGGTCTAGAATTGCTTATGTTTTGAATTAATTTGGGAGAATGTACACTACAATCATTTTGATCTTGGAATTTCTATTAAGGCATTAATCAGGCTCAAAGCACATGCTCTACAGGAACTCAAAATATTAAACTATAAAAGGGAATCTAGGGCTGGGAAGGTGGCTCAGTGGTAGAGCACTTGCCTTCCATGCCTGAGGCCCCGGGTTCCATTCCTCAGCAGCACATAAGCAAAAAGAAAAAAAAGCCGGAAGTGGTGCTGTGGCTCAAGTGGTAGAGTGCTAGCCTTGAGCTGAAGAGCTGAAGGACAGGGCCCAGGCCCAGAGTTCAGGCCCCACGACGGGACCCAAAAAAATAAAAAAATAAAGTAAAAGGGAATCTAATCAGAAAGGCAGTCACACAATGGGATCAAAACAAACCACCTTCATTTGTGTTTTGGTTTAAAAATGAAGACATAGTAAACTACTTCATTACCCACACTTCGTTTGTTAAACAGGCATGTTAGGGATAAGGAAAAATAGAACTAAAATGGAGACCATAGTGATTTTCTAAAAAAAATTATTATTGTAAAGATGTACAGAGGGATTAGTTACATAAAAACGAGGTGGAGTACATTTTTTTTTGGACAATGTCACCCCTTCCCTAGCTTTCTCCGTTTTTCCCTCCTGTCCCAAGTTGTGTAGTTCAACAGTGACTAGTACCACTGCTGCATTTATTGACCTTTTCTTCCATTTTTGTGCCTTTCCTTACCCTCCTGATGGTGACATTTAGTTGTACTCCAGTAACCAAGAGCAGACAAGCAAAGACCTGGCAAAGAGCATTTTTCAAGTAGTTCTGAGAAAAGCCCTGAGGCAAACACTAGTTTGGCACACAAAAACTAGTTAGGAACACAACAAAACTTTACGTAGAGGGATCAATACAGTAGATGAGGTGGAGCCTGAGCGCGTGGAGGAGCTCAGTAGGCCACGGACAGAGGTTTGGAGCTAAGTTGGGACTCAAGCACCTACTGGAGAATGCCGGAGTTAACAGTCTCGGATTTACCTTTTTCAACCTCTGGCTTCAGGGCAGCTTCTACGCCTAACCTGACCAGAAGCGCTGAGTCAGTTGCCAGAGTCGCAGGGAGCTGACAGAGGTACCTCCCTGCGGCCTCTGGAGCCCCCAAGGTGACCAAGGGTCCCTACTGTCCTGCTTCGCCAATTCTGGGTCCTGCTCATGCCGCCTCTACGTCTAACTCAAACAGACTGGGTTTAACGCCCACGGTGGTACCACATACAGGACCCAGGGCGGGCGCTGAAGAAGCCATCTCACTAGGAAGAGCGAGGAAACGCACCACTCCCGGTCCCGGGTCAAAGCCCGGGCCGGCCGCGAAGAGGGCGGCGCCCAGACTACAGTCCCGGCGGCCTCCGCACGGCGCGGATTCCTCCGCCCGCCCAGCCCGGCCCGTAGCGTCCAACCGGGTTTCCCCACCACCTTCACCCTATCCCAAGGCTTGCCGAGGGCCAGCGCCAGGTCCCCTCCGAACCCGGGGTCCATCTGTGCGTCTTCTGATCCCGTTTCTGGGGAGGGACTCCTGGGAACTCCAGAGGAGAAAGGGACTCTTTTGCGGGGGAAGGCCGGGGGGGGGGCGGAGGCAGACGAGGAAAAGGACGGAGGTCTGAAGCGGCTGATTTTCGCGCGCTTTGCCGCGGGGCGTTGTGGGTAGGCGCGCCGGGAGGGAGAAAGGAACCCGGGGCCGCTGAGGCGCGCCGCCCGCTGGGCTCGAAGGGATGTTTGAAGACGAGTCCCACGCCGAGGGGGCGGCGGTGGTCGTTGCGGCCGGGGAGGTGCTGCAGGCCCTCTGCCAGGAACTGAACCTGGACGAGGGGAGCGCGGCCGAGGCTCTGGACGACTTCACCGCCATCAGAGGCAACTACAGTCTGGAGGTGAGCGGCGGCAGGTGGGCGCGGACCCGACCTTGCTAGGCCCCACCCCGTCCCGCCCCTGCCCCCCAGGGGTGCTGGGAGTTCCGCTTCGTGAGGGGGTCTCTGCCCTTCCTGGCGCCGGGAGGGCGTGACTGGGAGGGTCGCTGTGGCCCCGGCAGTCCCCTCGGCCGGTTCGAGGCGGGAAACCTGCGCCGTGAGCAGGAGCGGCCCCTGCCCGGGTCCGAGTCCCCCACGTTCCAGGCTTACCTCTCGTCCCCGCCAATCGCCACTGCCGTCAAATCCATAGAAATAGACATAATGGTAAAAGTGAATTACAACCCAGCTCTTCGAGTATGTCATCTGCGCGTTCTCTATGAACACATTCCATGACTCTCCATTCCAAAGAAGCAATAGAGTAAAACGCCGGGGCAAAGCCAGGCTAGGGAGTCTGAGCCCTTTAAGCGCTCTTCATTCTTTTCCTCCTTATGTAGCAAAGTGAGGACACTTTGTAGCTCGCACTACAAAGCCCCTGCCCTAATACTTAGCTGTGTCTGGCTTTGAATAAAGTAAGTGGCAGTTATCATCATTCTAGTTTCTCCCCCCCCCGTTTCTCCCCCTCTCCCTCCCTTTCCTCCCTCCCCCCCCTTTTTTTTTGGGGTCGCTCGTGGGGCTTGAACCCTAGGCCTGAGGGTTGTCTTTGCTCTTCAGCTCAAGGCTAACGTTCAAGGCCACAGCTCCACTTCCGGTTTTCTGGTGGTTTATTGGAGATAAGAGTTTCACCGCCTTTCTTACTCAGCTTGGCTTTTTTTTTTTGGGGGGGGGTCTGGTAGTGGGGCCTGAACTCTGGGCCTGGGCGCTGTCCCTCAGCTCTTCAGCTCAAGGCTAGCACTCTACCACTTGAGCCACAGCGCCACTTCCGGGTTTTTTTCTTTTTTTGCTTATGTGGTGCTGAGGAATCGAACCCAGGGCCTCAGGCATGCAAGGCAAGCACTCTACCACTGAGCCACCTTTCCAGCCCCCCAGCTTGGCTTTGAACCGTGATCCTCAGATCTCAGCCTCCTGAGTACCTTGGATTACAGGTGTGAGCCACCAACACCCGACTTCATTAGTTTCTCGATCGTTCTTATGTTCTGTTTTCATAACATTTCGTTTTCTGAACACAGCAAGTCAGAGTATTTTACTTGTTTTCTAGGTGGTAATGTCAAGATTCAATGGATTTCTCAAGCATGTGCAAACCTAGTATAGAAATGGGAATGTAGTGTGAGGCCTCCATGTACACGATCCAGCAGATCAAAAATACTTGGGAAAAGTTTGCATCTGTACTGAGCATGTACCGACTTTTGTCATTCAAAAACAATACAGTAGCTGGGTACCTGTAACCCTAGCTACTCAGTAGGCTGAGATCTGAGGATCGCAGTTCAAAGCCTGCCCAGGCAGGAAAGTCCGAGAGACTCTTATCTCCAGTAAACCACTGGAAAACCGGAAGTGGCACTGTAGCTCAAGCGGTAGAGTGCTCGATGAAGAGCGCTGGGACAGTGCCCAAGCCCCACGACCGACTAAAGAAAAAAAAAACCACAAACGAAAACAACAATACAGTATGACTACATTGTATTAAGTATAAGAGATGCTTTAAAGTCTATTAGCAAGAATAAAGAGTGTAGATTGAAGGTAGAGTATATATCTAGTATGGGAAGATGAAATAAACCATACACTGGTTTTATAACAGGCACTTAAGTAATCCTGGATTTTGGTATCTTCTATCCCATGAGGGATACCAAAGCATGATTACATTTCAGCAGATTTCTCCAGTGGTCTTACATTAAATGACTTTCATGAACCAAAAGGGCTGGATTCACAGAACAAGCTGACTAAACTCAGTGAAATAATGATTGGGTTCAAAGGAATAGAGCTGGAATTTTTCGGTTAGACTATGTGTATCCATATGAGAAAAGTACCTGCATGAGACTAGTGTGTCTCCATGGTAAAGCTGAATAGACTAGATAAAAGAAAGTGACCTGTACCTGGGGTGGCATAACTAGAAAGCTGAGGGGAGAATGAGAAGATTAGGGAGGTGAATTAGTGATCTTATAGTTGAAAACTGGTTGTTCTTTGACAGTGGGAGGAGGCATTTCTGATACCCCAAGAGCTCATTTGTTCTAACTGAACAAACATTTATTGAGCAGGAGCTATGGCCAAAGCATTCAACTAGACCCTAGTTTCAGACTATTTTGTTGCTCCTGCAAACCATTTGCTCTGCTTGGAGACTTTTACCAATAACCCCAGGGAAGGTTGAAGACCTAAATCTCTGCTTTAGGCAGAATCAATCAGGATGCCTTAAATATTTGCTTTAGAAACCACAGGTGTTAGCCAAGCACCAGTGGCTCACACCTGTAATCCTAGCTAGTCTGGAGGCTGAGAAATGAGGATCAAGGTTTGAAGCCAGCCCTGGCAGAAAAGTCTGAGACTTATCTCCATGTAACCATCCCTTGCTTACATTCCCCTCCCCTCCTCCATACTTAGAGTTTTGGTGATTTACTACTTAGCAATTTCAAATCTTTTGTGAAGTCTTCCCTGACTTCCAATCAAAGTCCAAGACTGTTGCTCTTGTGTCCCAGGACACTATCTGAGATTCTTCTTAAGATTACATCTTATCAATTATAGAAAATAGTTTTCTGTTGCTCTTTTTAGCTTTAGGTTGGAAATCTATGAAGTCAGAATCCATTATGTGGGCTGGGGATATAGTTCTGTGGTGCTTGCTTCATATACACAAGGCCCTGGGTTAAGTTTCTTGCTCTGAAAAAATAAATAATAAATTATTTTTTGTTTTCTTGGTGGTACTGGAGTTTGAAATCAGTATCTTGCCCTTGCTTACTTGATTCATTTATTAGGAAGAAAATCTCAATAATTCCAGTACTTGTTTACTTAATTGCGCTTAACTAAGGATTGAATCCAAGGTTATTATCATTAAAGTTCTCGGAATGCTCAAGGGCCTTTTCACATGCTAGGCAAGCACTCAACCATTAAGTTACGTCCTTACTAATATTTTTTTTTGGGGGGGGGGTCTGGTCGTGGGGCCTGAACTCTGGGCCTGGGTGCTGTCCCTCAGCTCTTCAGCTCAAGGCTAGCACTCTACCACTTGAGCCACAGCGCCACTTCTGGCTTTTTTCTTTTTGCTTATGTGGTGCTGAGGAATCAAACCCAAAGCCTCAAGCATGCAAGGCAAGCGCTCTACCACTGAGCCACCTTCCCAGCCCTAATTTTTAAAATAGTAACCTGTATCCAAAGGCTCTGTAATACTTGTATGTTGTTCCCAATTAATTAGTCAGTGTTTTAAGCAATTAAGACTTTTGTGTCCTTTCACATGGGAACACTGGATTTTCGCTTTATTAATGGCTACTTATTTCTACTCACTCCTTTTGGATTATTGCAAAAATATTTTTTATCAGTCTTTTTATCCTACTGTCTGTTTATCCTTCTAGAGTCTGGTATTAAGGATTGCAGAACAATGAATAAGAACAGTATTACGTATGTTAGAAATTTGTGTCTTCTTAAATTCTTAAAATTCAGTTATATTTCAGCAGTATTCTCATAAAAAGAATTCGATCTTAGAGATATTTTAAGCCTAAAAGGAGAAAATTAAGCGCTCAATTCCTAGGTACCACCATTTTTTTTTTTTGTAGTTTTGTGAGCTGAGATATCTAGTAAGATGGAGGAGCATACTTAACATTTAGAAGGTAAAATAGGGGTAAAAAATGCCCCCAATTTTTACCTTAAAAAACGTAGCCTTGCCGGGCAATGTTGGCTCATGCCTGTAATCCTAGCTACTCAGGAGGCTGAGATCTAAGGATCACAGTTCAAAGCCATCCTGGGCAGGAAAGTCCGTAAATCTCTAATCTCCAATAAACCACCAGAAAACTGGAAGTGGAGCTGTGGCTTAAGTTGGTAGAGCATTAGCCTTGAGCTGAAGTTCTGAGGGACAGCGTCCAAGCCCAGAGTTCAAGCCTCATGACTGACAAAAAAAAAAAAAGGCAGCCTTTAGGCTGGGCACCAGTGGCTCACACCTGTAATTCTAGCTACTCAGGAGGCTGAGATCTGAGCCTTACAGTTCAAAGCTAGCCCAGGCAGTAAAGTTTGTGAGACTTTTATCTCCAATTAACCACCAAAAACCAGAATTGGAGCTGTGATTCAAGTGGTAGAATGCTAGCTTTGAGCAAAAAAGGCTCAGTAACACTACCCAGGTCATGAGTTCAAGGACCTACACACACACATAAAAAAGGCACCTCTGTATTTCTTTCTTTTTCTTTTCTTTTTTTTTTTTTGTCGGTTGTGGGACTTGAACTCTGGGCCTGTACACTGTCCCCGTGCTCTTCACCTCAAGGTGAGCACTCTACCAATTGTGCCACAGTGCCACTTCCAGTTTTCTGGTGGTTTATTGGAGATAAGAGTCTCATGGACTTTCCTGCCCAGGCTGGGTTTGAACCGTGATCCTCAGATCTCAGCCTCCTGAGTAGCTAGAATTATAGGTGTAAGCCCACCAGCGCCCGACTTATCTTTCATAACTTTTATGTGATTCTCTTGCCCACGTTATACTGTCTGTGCTTTTCTCTGCCAGACAGGTTAAAAGAAAATATAGTAAAACGATACTTCATTATCATCAAGGCTCTGATGGGTGGTTTCAAACTGAGAAAGCTAAGCTGGGTGCTGGTGGCTCACTCCTGTAATCCTAGCTATTCAGGAGGCTGAGATCTGAGGATCATGGTTCAAACCCAGCCTGGGTAGGAAAGTCTGTGAGACTTATCTCCAATAAACCACCAGAAAACCCTAAGTGGTTCTGTGGCTCAGGTGGTGGAGCACTAGCCTTGAGCTGAAGAGCTGAGGAACAGTATCTAGGCCAACCCCCACAACTACAAAAAACAAAACAAAGCCAAAAAACTGAGAAAGCTAATACTGAGAATTTTTACCTTTTTGAGTAATATTACATTTTTGGAGTATGGGGAGAGATTTGTTCTTAGATCAGTGCTGTTTTAGTATGTTCTCATAAGAACACAGGACTAAGAAAAAGTAGTTTTATACCCATCATTCCACCTATCTTAGCTTGGGCAAATGTCTTTTCTCTGGACCTTTACCTGTTGAAGGAAAATTAAACCAAACAGGTCTAAGATCTCTACTGGTTCTTAAATTCAAACATTTTATCATACTATATTCATTTTACTGTTTGTCTCTTGCCTTCCAGGGAGAAGTTATACACTGGTTGGCATGTTCATTATATGTAGCATGCCGTAAAAGCATTATTCCCACAGTTGGAAAGGGTATCATGGAAGGAAACTGTGTTTCACTTACCAGAATACTACGTTCAGCTAAATTAAGGTAAACATTTTGATTTTTCAGTATGGTATAAGTCCTAAGTCTAATTTTAGAATTTAATTTTCCTTTATTTTAAATCATTTGACTTAATTCAATCCCAGGTTGTTAATACATATGTGTTTTTTCAAAGTCTCACATTCCTTCTCAGATTTCTTCCTCAGATTCTGACTTCTACCAAAGCTCTTTTCTCTCCTGTTGTATAGTGTAGAGTAGCTATCATTCAGTTTTAGTAAAGAAGTTCTGTGCGTTTCATTGCTTGAAGCTATTTTCTTAGTTACTTGTGATTTAAACCAAGATGACTTTTATTGGTTTAATTATTTTCATATTATAAAACTAGAAGGAACATTTGTCAAAAATGCTTTTTCATACATTTGAATTGGAACTTTTGTGATAATTGGTTATAATTTCCCTTTTTTTTGTTTTTTTGTCGGTTGTTGGGCTTGAACTCTGGGCCTAGGCGATGTCCCTATGCTGTTCAGCTCAAGGCCAGCGCTCTACCACTTGAGCCATAGTGCCGCTTCCAGTTTTCTGGTGGTTTATTGGAGATAAGAATCTCTTGGACTTTCCTTGCCCAGGCTGGCTTTGAATTGTATTCCTCAGATCTTAGCCTCCTGAGTAGCGAGGTTTATAGGCATAAAACACCAGCATCTGGCTTAGTTGAACAGTTTTTAATACATTCTTACAATGATACAGCTAGTACCACAGTCAATTTTAGGACATTTTCATGACAACCATAATCTAGTTTCTGTCTTGGTGGATTTTTCTATTCTCAACATTCCTTCTAAAAGGAATTATACAAGATGTGGTCTTTAATGTTGACTTCATATTTCACTTAACATAATGTTTTCAAAGTTCATGATGTAGATGTATCAGATGTTGATTTATTCTTTGTGATAGAATAATATAGTGTATGGATATAGCTCATTTTTTTGTTTTGTTTTTTTGTTTGTTTTGTTTTTACTTAGAGTTAGTGTCTTGCTATGTAGCCTAGGCTGCTTCATACTATTGATCATCCTGCCTCAGCTTTCCAAATATTGAAATTATAGGCCTGTACCAACCATATTTGGCTTTGCTTATTCATTTGTCAATTGATGAACATTAGTATTAACTCTCCCTTGGGCTGTTCTGAGTAAGACCACTGTGAACATTTATGTTCAACTTTTATATGGGCTTAGGTTTGTTTCCATTTCTCTTGCATGTGTGTGTGTGTGTGTGTGTGTGTATACATACATGTGAGTGGATTTGATGGATCATATGATAACTATCAAGTTTGAGGGCTGGGAAGGTGGCTCAGAGGTAGAGCATTTGCCTTGCATGCATGAGGCCCTGGGTTCAATTCCTCAGCACCACATAAGCAAAAAGAAAAAAGCCGGAAGTGGTGCTCAAGTGGTAGAGCGCTAGCCTTGAGCTGAAGAGCTGAGGGACAGCGCCCAGGCCCAGAGTTAGGCCCCACGACCGGACCAAAAAAAAAAACAACTATCATGTTTGACTTGTAAGACACTCTCAGGCTGTTTGCCAAAGTGACTGTAACAATTTCCAGTTCTAGTAGGGTTCCACTTTTTCCACACCCATACCAGTACTTGTAATTTGTCTTTTTTTAAATGGTAGCCATCCTAATAGGTATGAAGTAATAAACTATAAGCTATTTTGAATTTCTCTGATCACTAATGATGTGAACTATATTTTCATTTGCTTATTGAATTAGTATTTATAACAGAATTCCAACAATTAGAATTATTTTGATTTTTTTATGTTGTTGTTTTTTGTTGTTTTTTTTTTTGTCGGTCGTGGGGCTTGAACTCTGGGCCTGGGCGCTGTCCCTCAGCTCTTCAGCTCAAGGCGAGCGCTCTACCACTTGAGCTACAGCGCCACTTCCGGTTTTCTGGTGGTTTATTGGAGATAGGAGTCTCACGGTCTCTCCTGCCTGGGCTGGCTTTGAACCGTGATCCTCAGATCTCAGCCTCCTGAGTAGCTAGGATTACAGGCGTGAGCCACCAGCGCCCGGCTAGAATTATTTTGAAAGTGGTAAAGTTGCTTATTTTAGTTTAAAAATCACTGTCTGGGGACAGGTATTAGGCTCACACCTGTAATCCTATCTGCTCAGGAGGCTGAGATCTAAGGATCAGAGTTTGAATCTATTCAAAGAGAAAAATCTGAGCAGTTCTATCTTGAGCTAGCCAAACCAAGAGAAAATGCAAAGCCCTAAATTTAAGCTACGGCAAGTCTATCAAAAAAGATAGAGAAGCTAGGCACTGATGGCTACTCAAGAGTCTAATATCTGAGGATGGCGGTTCAAAGCCAGTCTGAGCAGGAAAGTCCTTGACTTTTTTCCCTCCCATTTGCTGGTCCCCAGCCTGAGAACTCTGGGCCTGAGTTTTATTACTAAGCTCCTTTTGCTCAAAACTAGCACTCTACCACTCGAGCCACAGTACCATTTCTGGCTTTTTCTGTGAATAATTGGAGATAAGAGTCTCACAGACTTTGCTGCCAGGGTTGGCTTCAAACTGAGATCCTCAAATCTCAGCTTCCTGAGTAGCTAGGATAACAGATGTGAACTACCAGTGCCAGGCACCATGAGACTCTTACTTCCAATTAACTACCAGAAAATACAGAAGTGGCACTGTGGCTCAAAGTGGTAGACTGCTAGCCTAAACAAGCTTAAGGACAGTACCCACCCCTTGAGTTCAAACTGGCAAAAAAGAGGGCCAGGGGGAAATAGAGAGAGAAGAGAGTAGCTACTTAGTAGGTTGAGATCTGAGGATCAGGACTTAAAGCCCAGCACACTTTGTTACTTAAATGTAAAGCCATTATCTAGATATTTTAGAAATAGAAGTGATGGTATTCTTCCTGGACAGTACAAGACACTATGCTATGTCCATTAACCCAAAATCTATATCCCTACTATAGTCCTGGTAACCATAGTAATTTCATAACACTTGGAATGAAGTTTTTAAATAAATTTAGGTTGCTTTTTTTTTAAGTCGTGAATAGAAAGTCCTTTTCATCCCATTTATGGATTAATTTTAATGTCACCTTTTTCCTCTTCTTTTTTTAGTTTAATACAATTTTTTAGTAAAATGAAGAAATGGATGGACATGTCAAACCTGCCACAAGAATTTCGTGAACGTATAGAAAGGCTAGAAAGAAATTTTGAAGTATCTACTGTAATTTTTAAAAAATTTGAGCCTATTTTTTTAGATGTGTTTCAAAATCCATATGAGGAGCTACCAAAATTACCACGAAGCAGAAAACAGAGGTAAGACACTTGAATCCTTATCTATTAAGAGATTTTGTTCTTTGAAGTCTCCCTTTTGCCAGAAGTATCTATTTGCAAAGACTTACATTTCTTTTTAAATTTATGGACAGTGAGGAAGGGGTGACAGTGTCTAGAAAGAAATGTACTCATCAGGGCTGGGAAGGTGGCTCAGTGGTAGAGCGCTTGCCTTGCATGCCTGAGGCCCTGGGTTCGATTCCTCAGCACCACATAAGCAAAAAGAAAAAAGCCGGAAGTGGCCCTGTGGCTCAAGTAGTAGAGCACTAGCCTTCAGCCGAAGAGCCGAGAGACAGCGCATGTACTCATCACCTCACTTATATAACTGTAACCCTTCTGTACATCATCTTTATAATAATAAAAATTAAAAATGAAGAAGGAAATGAGTCTATGGACCAGTTACCTAATCTGGGAATTCAGAGTAGTACTTTTCACTTATTTTTCTATATTCTGATTTTTTTTTTTTTCTACCAGTCCTGGAGCTTGAACTCAGGGCCTGGGCACTGTCCCTAAACTTTTGGTCAAGTGTTAGCTCTACTGCTTGAGCCAGAGTGTCACTTCTGGTCTTTCCTTTTTATTTAGTACTGAGGAATTAAACTCATGGCTTCATGCATGCTAGGCAAGCACTCTGCCATTAAGCCACATTTCCCAGCCTTATATTATGATTTTTTTTTTTTTTGGGGGGTCTGGTCATGAGGCCTGAACTTTGGGCCTGGGCGCTGTCCCTCAGCACTTCAGCTCAAGGCTAGCGCTCTACCACTTGAGCCATAGCACCACTTCTGGCATTTTTCTTTTTGCTTATGTGGTGCTGAGGAATCAAACCCAGGGCCTCAGGCATGCAAGGCAAGCGCTCTATCACTGAGCCACCTTCCCAGCCCTATTACAATTTTTTTAATGCAAGATTGGAAAGGCTTATTTCATAATGAAAGTCCATTCATAAGCTATAGATTATCTTCCCTTGTCAATGGAATTTTACATGTAGTTTAACCTTATATTTGTATTTGATTTTTTAATTTAAATGATACTTTGCAAGCTCATCAAACAAAAAAATAATACATTTATTCCTTTTTCAGGAGGATTCCTTGCAGTGTTAAGGATCTCTTTAATTTCTGTTGGACACTCTTTGTTTATACTAAGGGTAAGGAGATACTCTTGTTTGGTGATGCTCTTGTTTTTTTCTTAAATATATTTTTATTGTGAAAATACTGTACAGAGGGGTTACAATTACATGGGTAAGATACTGAGCACATTTCTTATCAAGCATTGTAGCCTCCTGCTTTGTTTACCCTTCCCGTCCCTTCGTATCCCCGCCCCCCCCATTCCCCCCACCAAAGTTCGTTTTTTCGACATAACGACTTGTACATCTTATTGTTGCAATGGATCCTCCTGTATCCCTGTTTTAACAATTTGTTTTTTCCCTTCCGCTCCACATATACCAACATCATATATAGTGAAAGCAGGGGTTGTACCATGGGGGAAAGACATACAAGGCAACAAAGACATAATCTAATAAATATGTTAGAAACAATCACATGAAAGATCTCTGTCTCTCTCTTTTTTTTTTTTTTTTTTTGGTCAGTCGTGGGGCTTGAGCTCTAGGCCTGGGAGCTGTCCCTGAACAATTCAATGCTCTTGTTTTTATATTCCTACTGTGGGAACTTGGTGGTATTTGACATGAAAGCTTTTTTTACTGTTGTGGGTTTTTTTTTTTCCTTATAAAGGTAATTTTCGTATGATTGGGGATGATTTGGTAAACTCTTATCATTTACTTCTGTGCTGCTTGGATCTAATTTTTGCCAATGCCATCATGTGCCCAAATAGGCAAGACTTGTTAAATCCATCATTTAAAGGTAAGATCTTTACTTATTTTTTTAAATTAATTATAAGAATATTTTGGAAAAGGAGTTTTAAAGGAAAAGGAGTCTTAAAGATTGACATATTCTTCTCACACACTTGTCAAACTAGGTTTGCCATCTGATTTCCACACTGCTGACTTTAAGGCTTCTGAAGAACCTCCCTGTATCATTGCTGTACTCTGTGAACTACATGATGGGCTTTTAGTAGAAGCAAAAGGAATAAAGGAGCACTACTTTAAGCCATATATTTCAAAACTCTTTGATAAGAAGGTACTGTATTTATAATTGAAAGACTAAAATTTGTAGGGGTCAGCAGAAGCTTTCACAGAAAAAAATGTTCTCAACATTGCAGGACTCAGAATCAAGATTCCCAAGTTTTAGTCCCTGCTGTAAAGAATTTCCCTATGGTCTTCTGTGAGATGAGAAATTGAGCTGTTAAAGAATGTGACCAGATATATGTATTGTCAAGGAAATTTCCTATCAGGGCAACTCTAGGGGGTTCTAATAAAGAAATCTAAAGAATAAAACATTAGAGTCAGCCTGATTAAAAAAAAGAACTGGGGCTGGGAAGGTGGCTCAGTGGCATGCATGAGGCCCTGGGTTCGATTCCTCAGCACCACATAAGCAGAAAAAGCTGGAAAAGTGGCACTGTAGCCCAGGTGGTAGAGTACTTGCCTTGAGCTGAAGAGCTCAAGACAGGCCCAGGCCCAGAGATCAAGATCCATGACCAACATCTGTAATCCTAGCTTCTTGAGAAGCTGAAATCAGGAGGATTATAGTACAAGGCCAGCCTGGGCATAATACATAGAAGACCTCTTGTTACAATGTGTGAGTATGGTAGTGCACACCTGGCATCTTAACTATATATGAAGGACTAAAATTGGGAAGGTCACCATTCTTGGCCACTCCAGGCAGGAAAGTCCGAGAGATTCCATTCCAGTTGAAAAAACTAGGCATGGTATCCTAGCTATACTGGAAGCATAGAATAGTTGGATCACAGTTCAGCCATGGGGTTGGGCATAAAAAGAAACACTATCATTTTCAGCAAAGTAAACTTTTGAAGTTGCACAGAAGCAGTACATTAGTACCCAGGTATACAGTGGTCATATATCTTGGTTTCCTTCTATTTTGTTATTTTCTTGACACAGTTATTCTTTCATTCAGAAATTAAACTTGTCATTTAAGCTATAATTCTGCTTTTGAAAAGTACTTTGAAGATTCTAAATTGATTCTATATACTGTCTGACTTTTGCCTGTATAAGATGATAATTTTATTTCATTCTTCTTGAATTTTTAGTTTAAATATCAAGAACTTTTTTTTTGTGGTTTTGTTTTTGGTCCGGTCATGGGTCCTGAACTCTGGGCCTGAGCGCTGTCCCTCAGCTCTTCAGCTCAAGGCTAGTGCCTTACCACTTGAGCCACAGCGCCACTTCCGGCTTTTTCCTTTTTGCTTATGTGGTGCTGAGGAATCAAACCCAGGGCCTCATGCATGCAAGGCAAGTGCTCTACCACTGAGCCAACTTCCCAGCCCCTCAAGAACTTTTTTTTGTCAGAAGTGAGACTTGAACTCAGAGCCTGGGTGCTGTCCCTGAGCTCTTATACTCAAGGCTAGTGCTCTATCACTTTGAGCCACTGCATCCCGTTTTTGAGTAGTTAATTGGAAATGAGTCTCATGGGGACTTTTCTTCCTGGGCTGTCTTTAAACCACAATCCTCAGATCTCAACTTCCTGAGTAGCTAGGATTATAGGTGTGAGCCACCAGCGTCCAGCAATATATCAAGAACTTTTATACAAAAAGCTTTTTAAAAATCCGGAGTTGTGGGGCTGAGAAAGTGGCTCAGTGGTAGAGTGCTTGCCTTGTCTGCATGAAGCACTGGGTTCGATTCCTTAGCACCACATAAGCAGAAAAAGCTGGAAGTGGCACTGTGGCTCAAGTGGTAGAGTGCTAGCATTGAGCTGAAGAGCCAAGGGACAGCGCCCAGGCCCAGAGTTCAGGCCCCACAACCAATAACAACAACAACAAAAATTGGAGTTGTGGCAAAATACTGGGTTGAAATTTCTACAATTAACTATTGTTAAGCTAAACGATAGCCACTACTTTTGAGATGGGAAATGTATACATTCATGGATGTTCATCCTGACCCTAAAAGACTTTTGAGTTTTTAAACCTCATTTGTAGTAAATGTACATATAGTGTGACACAGAAAACAATAATAACAGTGTAGTTTCTCACAAGCAAGAAGACCCTGCATTTCCCTTTTATAATCTTTAACTTTCGGGGCTGGGAAGGTGGCTCAGTGGTAGAGTGATTGCCTTGCATGCATGAGGTCCCGGGTTCAATTCCTCAGCACCATATAAGCAAAAAGAAAAAAGCCGGAAATGGTGCTGTGGCTCAAGTGGTAGAGCGCTAGCCTTGAGCTGAAGAGCTGCGGACAGCACCCAAGCCCAGAGTTCAGGCCCCACAACTGGACCCCCCCCCAAAAAAATCTTCAACTTTACTGAAACATTTCATTTTAATTTCTTCTCTCAGACCAGTGTTTAATAATGAGACACTTTCATCAGAATCATGTTGGAAATTTGTTAAATTCCCTATGGTCTTGAGGTTCATCAATCTGCATCCTCTAAGTGATTTTTGTGTCTCTAAAATTTGGAAGACACTGCTTGTATACTAACAAAGGGTGTGTGTGTGTGTGTGCGTGTGCGTGTGCGTGTGTGTGTGTGTGTGCGCGGAGGTAGATAACAAAGGGTGTGTGTGTATGTGTGTGTGTGTGTGGAGGTAGATAACAAAGGGTGTGTGTGTGTGTGTGTGTGTGTACCTGTGTGCACACTCATTGGTCTAGGGCTTGAACTCAGGACCTAGCTATTGTCCCTGAGCTATTTTGCTCAAGGCTCTACACTTGAGCCACAGCTTTGCTTATGATTTTTGGTGGTTAGTTGAAAGTAAAAGTCTCACAGACTTTCCTGCTGGGGATAGCTTTGAACCTTGATCCTCAAGTCTTAGCTTCCTGAGTAGCTAAGATTATACTCCTGACCTGTGGGTGCTCAGCAACAGTTGACTTTAAATTAAATTAATTTTTTTTTGATTGTGGGACTTGAACTCTGGGCCTGGGCACTGTCCCTGAGCGCTTCAGCTGAAGGCAAGCACTCTACCACTTGAGCCACAGTGCCACTTGTAGTTTTCTGGTGGTTAATTGGAGATAAGAGTCTCACGGACTTTCCTGCCCAGGCTAGCTTTGAACCATGATCCTCAGATCTCCGCCTCCTAAGTAGCTAGGATTACAGCTGTAAGCAACCAGCGCCTAGATAAATTTAATGTTTTATTTGCATACTTAACAGGTTTTTCTGGTTATAGTTGTCTTATTTCGTGTGTTATATCAATGTGAAAATTTAAGGAAATAGTATTTTTGTGTGTGTTGATAGGTTTTTGGGATTTTAACTCAGTTTCTTCCATATGCTAGGTAAGCACTCTATCACTTGAGCTACAGCCCTAACCCTTTTACTTTAGTTACTTTTGAGATAGGGTCTTTCTTTTCTTGCCTTGGCAAGCCTAGACTGTGATCTTCCTACTTTATACTTCCTGCTCTGGGTGACAGGCCTGCTGTTACACTACTAACATTTTACACTAAGATGGGTTTCTTGCTGACCTTAACTGGTGAGCCTCTCAATCTCACCTCCCTCGTAGCTAGGGATTATAAGCATTAGCCACCACTCCCAGCTATAATATATTTAATTACATCATAATTATTATTATATGTGTTGTTGTTTACCAGTCCCAGGGCTTAAACTCAGGGCCTAGCCACTGTCCCTGAACTTCTTTTGCTCAAGGCTAGTACTCTTTCACTTGAGCCATAGTATCACTTCTGCCTTTTTCTGTTTATGTAGTAGTGAAGAATCGAACCCAGGGCTTCATGCATGCTAGGCAAGCACTATACCACTGAGCCACCTTCCCAGCCCCTAATTACATGTTTTAATTATAGCTCCCAGATGATTTTTTTTTTCTTTCCAGATTTTGAAAGGAGAATGCCTCCTGGACCTTTCCAGTTTTACTGATAATAAGTAAGTATCCTAAAGTTTCAGCACTAATGGATTCTGTCATATCACAGATTAGTGGTAGTGACTGTTGAAATTTCTTAAGTGAAAGTAATTCCACCAAATTCAAATTCACTCCCCTTTACTAGGCTTGAATGCGTGTTATCACTAAACCTTGTTGCCTTAAGTACATTTAAGAAACTATTGGGGGATGGAAATGTGGCTCGTATTATAGAAAGCCTGCCTAGCAAATGCAGAGCTTTGAGTTCATACCACCTAAAAAATAAGGAAATTTAAAATAGCTATAGTCTCCTGAGAAACTCAAAGGAACCCAATGACTTCTATATTTGATTTTATGTTCTTCCATATATCAAATACAGTTTTGAACTCAAGGTCCCAAGCTTCCTAAGCAGGTACTTTACCATTTGAGCCACACCCCTAGCCCCATTTATTTAGTTTATTTTTCAGGTAAGGCATCACTTTTGCCAAGGGCCCTCCTTAGACCTCAATCTTTTGTGTGTCTTTTTATTTTTTATTTTTGTCGGTCATGGGGCTTGAACTCTGGGCCTGGCTCTTCAGCTCAAGGCGAGCACTCTACCACTTGAGCCACAGTGCCACTTCCAGTTTTCTGGTGGTTAATTGGAAATAAGCATCTCAGGCTGGGAAGGTGGCTCAGTGGTAGGGCGCTTGCCTTGCATGCCTGAGGCCCTGGGTTCGATTCCTCAGCACCACATAAGAAAAAAGCCAGAAGTAGCACTGTGGCTCAAGTGGTAGAGCGCTAGCCTTGAGCTGAAGAGCTGAGGGACAGCGCCTAGGCCCAGAGTTCAGGCCCCAGGACCAGACCCCCCCCCCCCAAAAAAAAAAGAATGGGGCTGGGAAGGTGGCTCAGTGGTAGAGTGCTTGCCTTGCATGTGAGGCCCTGGGTTCGATTCCTCAGCCCTACATAAGCAAAAAGAAAAAAGCCGGAAGTGGCATTGTGGCTCAAGTGGTAGAGTGCTAGCCTTGAGCTGAAGAGCTGAGGGACAGCGCCCAGGCC